AATGGTGTGAACGGCTTGCCCTACTGGAAAGGACCATTGTTCAGGGAAGAAAAAACAACACACTAGCACAAAGCCAGGGCAGGACCTGCCTAAATATAAGGGCCTGTTAACATATCTATGATTTCCAAGTGAGGGGACACAATGGGGAATTGTTTCTGGAGAGACTAGGTTCCCCTCCAGAATGCTCCTGGGGGCTGGGGATGGCTTTGATGGCCCAGACAGGTCTCAGATGCTCTGTGAGGGACAGACATTGATGGCGCAGATGTCTTCCTGTTTATTAGAGGTGCACTTCAGGGCAGGCCCAAGGAACAAGTTTATACCAAAGACAAGGGGGAGAAGCTCCTGGGCTTCACTCCCTCTGTGGAGGCCTCATGCTGTCACACTGCTCAGAGACCCCAGGGCTACAGGTGGTTTGCTAGGGAAAAGTGAGATTATTTTCTGAAAAACATCAACTCTTTGGTTTATGGCCTGCAATTGCCATGTTGCTTTTTGGAAAAAATGTACAAGGCATGAGACCCTTGCAAATAGCCAACGCCTCTGGAATGGGGCTCCCTGGCTTAGTCTGTTAGGGAGCCTTCTCATACCTAGGAGCCCTTGTGATGCTGCAATTCACCTCCAGTCAGCCTGGAAGCACACAGGGAGCTGACGCTGTGTCCCTGGGGTCAGGGCCAATGGAGGTGCTGTTTCTCATAGCAACCTCCTGCCCTGCCAACAGGAAGTTAGAGCCTTTGAACCACTAACCAAAGTCCCTGATGTCAGAGAGAGAGAGAGAGAGAGAGAGAGAGAGAGAGAGTGTGTGTGTGTGTGTGTGTGTGTGTGTGCAGCAGGAGGGTAGGGCAGAAGAGGAACAGAATCATATTACCCATTCCCCTTGGGACTGGCAGTCCCCATTTTTAGGGGTGAGAGGAGGGCAGCTGGGGTTAGGAGGATCACTTTGGGTCTGGGAGACCATGAAGGCAGTCTTATCTGAGGACCTGACCTATGATAGAAGTGTCATTAGTAACATCTATACTAACCTCTAGATATAACAGGAGCACAACTCATGGATAAACTTGAATGGATGTGTTTAGAACAAGTGAATAGCAGTAAGTCCTGTGCAATCCCCAAATAGAAACAAGTTTTCATAAGCCCTTCACAACCTTCCACACCTAAAGGGTTATAATCTTCTTCCTCAACATGCTCACAGTGCCCTCTGGTGTTTGACAGTAAAACATCAGGCTTATGAACGCAGGGGTTGAGCACATCCAACAATTCAGTAGACATCAAACTGCCTCTGCATGTGGGGTCCCGAGCCAGACACCATGAGGCGGAGAAAGGTTAATAAGACAGAAAGGTCCCTTCCCATAAGGGGCTTCCAATCTAGAGGGAGAGACAATTATGGGACCAGATGGAGAATGACATAGGCTATAATAGGGGTATAAGCAGAGCTCAGGGAGAGTGCCTAGGGATGAAGAAGTGGCCCTTATGCTGGATCCATCAGGCTGAGGATAGAGGTTATGGCTCTCCAGACTGCAAAGCTCATGCTCAGGGCCCAGTATTTCAGGGTAGCCATGGCAGAGTGCCCATGGAAGGGCTTAGATGTCCATCTCAGCGGGGGCCATCCTAAGTAAAGAGCTAGCAGATGTTTTATGGCAATTAACAGAAGGGTTAAGGATGGATATGCCAAGCAAAGCAAGTGGATATAGGAAACCATGCAGAGAGAAGGCTTTTGCTGCAGTCCTGTGAGGCACAGGGGTCTGAGCTCAACACTGGCAGTGGGATGGAGAGGAAGGCAAACATTTGAAAAATAGTCAAATTGACCAGAAAGAGGGTGGTTGAGCAGAAAAGGAAACATAAGGAGATTCTGAGGTTTCTGGCCCTAGTTCATGGTTCCCACAAAGGTAAGAATTAGAGGAAGCGGAGCAGGTGCTTTGGGGAATTTTTATTTGATGTCTATTCCTACCCTCCCCAAGTGAACTATATGTTCTAGGTCCTAGGTTATAAAATGGTAATTAATTCTAATAGACACATCATTTGTGAAAACAGGTATTTAAAATATACAAGATGAGGGCTTCCCTGGTGACGCCGTGGTTGAGAGTCCGCCTGCCGATGCAGGGGACACAGGTTCGTGCCCCGGTCCGGGAAGATCCCATATGCCGCGGAGAGGCTGGGCCTGTGAGCCATGGCCGCTGAGCCTGCGCGTCCGGAGCGTGTGCTCTGCAATGGGAGAGGCCACAACAGTGAGAGGCCTGCATACCGCAAAAATAAATAAATAAATTAATTAATTAAATAAAATATACAAGATGAGCCTGGGGCATCTTGTAGTGCCAAAAAGTAAAGAAGTGCTCAAAACCAAACCAAACCAAACCAAAATGAAACACACAATAATGGCAGTATGTGAAAAGGAATAGGAGTCCCAATGGCCAAAGCTAGAACAATCTGAGCAACAAAATAAAGTAGTATTGGATTATAAACCAAAGTATAATATACATATCCATGAGTCCACACTGATATAAATGGTTGAATAAATAAATACGTGGGAGAGGATAGGTAAATCTCCCATGCTGAAGAATTCCAAATAATACATGTAGATAATCTGTCCTTAAAAAGGGAGGGGGCATAAATCCCCACTCATTAATTGTGGGCTGAACAGAGTGGCTTCTTTCCAAAACTTACAGTACATAAAGGGGGAAAAGGAGTAACTTTTTCTGGAAAAACTTGGCAAACACTAACTTGGCCAGATGACCAAGATCAACATCAACAGTGATAAGTCATGTTGATCGTATGTAACTTCAATTTGATGCGATGAAAATGGCACTTTACCTGTGTGGTCTTCCTCCCTCAAACCCATAACTCCAGTCTAATCATAAGAAAAACATCAAGGACTTCCCTGGTGGCTCAGTGGTTAAGAATCCGCCTGCCAATGCAGGGGACACGGGTTCGAGCCCTGGTCCGGGAAGATCCCACATGCCACGGAGCAACTAAGCCTGTGTGCCACAACTACTGAGCCTGTGCTCTAGAGCCCGTGAGGCACAACCACTGAAGTCCGCGTTCCTAGAGCCCGTGCTCGGCAACAAGAGAAGCCACTGCAATGAGAAGCCCGTGCACCTCAACAAAGAGTAGCCCCTGCTCTCCGCAACTAGAGAAAGCCAGCCTGCAGCAACAAAGACCCAATGCAGCCAAAAATAAATTTTAAAAAGAAAAGAAAAGAAAAACATCAGACAAATCCCAATTGAGGGGCACTCTACAAAACACCTGACCAGGGCTTCCCTGGTGGCGCAGTGGTTAAGAATCTGCCTGCCAATACAGGGGACACGGGTTTGAGCCCTGGTCTGGGAAGATCCCACATGCCACGGACCAACTAAGCCCGTGCACCACAACTACGGAGCCTGTGCACTACAGCCCGCGAGCCTCAACTACTGAGCCCACGTGCCACAACTACTGAAGCCCATGTGCCTAGAGCCTGTGCTCCACAACAAGAGAAACCACCGCAATGAGAAGCCCGTGCACTGCAATGAAGAGTAGCCCCCACTCGCCGCAACTAGAGAAAGCCTGCCTGCAGCAATGAAGACCCAACGCAGCCAAAAATAAAGTAAATGAATTTATTTTTTAAAAAAGAGAATAAACAATGAACAGGAGGACTTCCCTGGTGGCACAGTGGTTAAGAATCAGCCTCCCGATGCGGGGGACACGGATTTGAGCCCTGGTCCGGGAAGATCCCACATGCCACGGAGCAACTAAGCCCGTGTGCCACAACTACTGAGCCTCCGCTCTAGAGCCCGTGAGCCACAACTACTGAGCCTGAGTGCCACAACTACTGAAGCCCGCGCACCCTAGAGCCCATGCTCTGCAACAAAAGAAGCCACCGCAATGAGGAGCCCATGCACTGCAATGAAGAGTAGCCCCCACTCGCTGCAACTAGAGAAAGCCCACGTGCAGCAATGAAGACCCAACGCAGCAAAAATAAATAAAATTTTAAAAAATGTACAGGTGAGGAAAAATAGTCATAGTGTACCACTTGACTCAGCACTGAAGGTTAATTTAACAAAAATTGTGATGCAATTATAAAAGATGGAAGGAATGAACATGGGAAGGTTTTAAAGGTGCTAGATCTTTATGTAATATGATAGTACGTCAAAAATGTCTAAGATTAATATATCAAGAAATGGCTAAAAAATGTGGAGAGTAGTTGCCTTTAGGGAATAGGACTGGGGGTAGTGAAGGATGAATCAAGAGAGTATTTTTCATTATAATCCCTTTAGTATTTCTTGATTTCTTTTTGAAGTATTATTTTGACCCCCACCGCCTCCTTGTGATTCCAAATAAATCTGGTCAAATCCAAATCACTGTGCACATTCAGATGTAAGTCTCCGGGGGTCAGCAACATTTAAACCAAGTTCGCAGCGAGACCCCGCGAACTCGGCACCTGGCAATGGTCCTGAGTTTCCCCCACTAATCCAAATCCCACAAAATCATTAAAAACAAACAAATGTTCTATTCAATTTATCCCAAGACCTTCTGCCAGGTTTCTGTCCTAGCTGTCTTGCCTAATGTCCTGGCATGGCCCCCTTACCTGAGCTAGAAATGCCCGAGCCACCAGACGGGAGGGTTTGAGTGGAGGTGTGTTAGGGTTAGGAAGGTATGCTGAAGACCAGGCTGCCTGGAGTGAGTGGAGCCCCTTCTGTCTCACGTGAGCACGGCAGTCCCTGGCCTTTGAGTCCAGGGCGCCAAGCCTTGCAATAGTGGCCTATTCTCAGTCCAGTGTGTTCTCCTTTGCTGGCTCACTTTCCTGATGAGATCCTGTGTGTTTATTTGCACAACGATGAAATTTCTGTCCCCGCAAAGTCGATTTATCTGCAAAATACTTCCCTCCAAAGCAACATGTCTAAGTTGAAAGTTCTACACTTAATTCACTGAATTTTATAGAGTAGAAAGGTGCATTTTCCTATTCCTTCACTCTACCCTCCAGATTCCTTAGTATGCTAGATAAATTCCAGAGTGAATGCATAAGGAGACACCAATGGAGAGAAAACTTTTATTTGTATAATAACAAACGTGGGTGAAGTCAGAAGAGGTATATGAGAACAAGATCAAGGTGGAATAATCTTGGTGGAAAAAGAGTAGAAAAGGCCCTCTGGGAATCAGGCAGAAAGAGCAGAGGTGCTCTCAAAGCCACAAATGCATCCTGTGGTTGGCATCAGGACTCTGCTCTGAACTCAGGTTCCCCTGGGACTTCTCTTTCTTTGGTTCAGAGTCTCACTGCTAGCCCCCTTTCCTTGACTCACAGTGCCAAAGTGCTCCCTCCCCCAAACCTGATGGAGGAACACAGCTTTGTACTCAAATGTGCTTGGCAGCGACTAATCAGAAACTGTTACTTGGACTTTTTGCAGCTCTTAGTGATTCTGACACCCTTGGATCGCCAGGAGTGGCCCCTCGTCCTGCAACCAGAGGACTCTGGTTTTTCTAATGAGGAAGAGCCTGGTCAGTCAGTCGAAGAAGGGCCCGGATTCTCTTCCAGGCTGGTGTCTCTGCAAAAATGCCCCCTGGAGTGGAAAGTGCTGTTGCAACAGGGGATGTCACCTGAGTTTTCAGGTGTGTAGTCTGTGGTGAAAGAAAGGTGGGAGAGGCAAACTCGACCCTCTGTCTCTCTCCCAGGCACAGGTCCTTATGCCCCTCCCTAGCCGATTTCCTCCCCAAACTAAAGTACCAACTAAAAGTCCCCATCTGATAGCACACCCTCCTCCTTTCCCAGGCACCATAAGTCCCCCGGACCCCTGACCCCCACCCCAGTTCTGAGACCAGACCACCCCTCCAGTCCCACCTGTGGCTTCAGCAGCAGGCGCACACTCCTCGCACTCCCATTTCTTACAGCTGGATCTGAGAGAGGAGCAGTCCCTATGGGTTCCGTGGGATCCACATGTAGCACACAGAATGAGGCTCCACCTCCTATAGGAAGAGCCAAGGGAGGGTTGTGGGACAAATTTAACACTCACTACCACTCTTGGAATGTTCACTGCAGGCCAGGCCTTTGATGAGGGCTCCCTAGGTATCTTTACTACACATTTTACCCGTGACGGAGATGTGGCTGAGCGCTGATCCCAAGACCTGCCGTCAGGCACAGCCACTCGCAAGGTAGATCGTGGAAGGAACTGGCCCTGAGTGTCTCTCCATGGGGCACAAGGAGAGTAGACCCTGCAGAGAGACCTGTTCACTTGTACATGAGTGAGTCCTGAGCTGATTAAGGATGGGACTCAGCAGCTATGTTCATCCTGAGGTCTGTAGACAAAAGTAAATTTCTTGCGCTTGATAACTGTGCAAGATCTAAGATGGCCCTGATGAGAGATCTTTCTGGCTATGAGGCTTTTCCTACCCTTCATCCTCAAAGCTGTCTCTGCCTTGTTCATACACACAGATGGGGGCATCACAATGCTGATAGAGCTCATACAACTCCGAGAAAGCCCCTGGCTCAAGTTCCCAGGCAGCGTCTCTGCAGTGGGAGAAGAAACAGTGAGTAAAGGACATATAATCGGGTGGTAAAACCTTTGTTCAACAGAACAAAGAAGTTCAACAGATTGCCTGAATACTTTCAGCAAGGCGGGGCTAGTGGCCTGGCAGTGGGAGAGGGGTGAAGCAGATAAGTGGAACACAGGTGTTCCTTAGTTCCACACTGGAATTCAAGAACCCAAGGAATTCTGACCCCCAAAGCACCTTTTTCAGAAACATGCCCACCACCCCTGCTTCACCCTCCCCCCATTTCTTTTTATAATTGAAAAGCTCTCCCTCCACCCTTCCCTCTTCACTGTACATCAGTGCTTCTGCTGCTTCCTCATTCTCTGAACTATCTTCACACTCACCTTCTCTCTAGAAACCTAGGCAACCCACTTCCGGGCTCAATTCCTGCTATAAAGTTTCTACTACCTGTCTGGAATATGAATTCCCATTCTTAGCATTTCTTGAGGAAATTCTTCTCGATTGTTGCAATGTGGACATTTGAAGAAATGCTTTGCTGACGTGTGGGCATATTTCTGTAAGATAAACATGGAAGATAGTGTTTGTAAAAACACTATCTTTGCACACATTCTTCCCACCCCGCACCCTCGTCTCACAAAGAGGATGTTGCTAGGAGAGCTTGACTAAGGGTTACAGGACAAGGAATATGGATGGGCTGAGGAGAGGGCTGCAAATCCAGGCGTCACACCAGGGACCAAAAGCTCAAGAGAGTGCCCAGGAGTGCCTCAGCTGTCATCTCCAGTCATGGGGCCTGGCAGTCCTCGACCCAGTAGGGGTCAGGTACCAAGAATACATGTTTCCCTTTCCTTCAATCCCAGGAAGCATGGCTGATTTTGAGGCTACTTGACTCATTCTAGGATAAACTCATTCGCTCCAGCCATCCTGAGGATTTTGTTCAGTCTAAATCTTATGGTAAAGTCCTACAGGTCAAGGATACCCAGAGACCAGGCTAACTTTCCTCTGGAATCAGTCCTGTATACAGGCCTGCAGCACAGAGCACAAAAGCTGAGATTGCCTGCGCATTCTCAGGGTGCTCAGAACTGGGCCATTGTGGAGGGTCCCCAGTCCAGGGAAAGCCCCACCTGTATGCACTTGCGGTGGTAGATAGTTTGGCTACAGCACGGACTCTGGATGTTTTCAACACTTGCTTGGACTAAGTCTTCGCAGCACAAGACACAGCTTTCATCCCCCACATTCTCCCATCGGATGTCCTGTGTTGGGCGATGTTTCCCACAAAATGATCTGTGGTAGAGTAAATAGACTTGGTTTCTGGTTTGTCACTGATGCAGTTTTCCAGCTGCCCGGCCTAGGAAGGGCAATCAACCACCCAGGCCAGTGTCCACTGAACCTCCACGCTAATGGGGGAGGAGGAGGAGCAGGGCGAAGAACAGCCACATTCCTTCTCATAGCTGCTTTCCCACTGAGCAAAGCTCCTGGGACTGTCTCCACAGCCTCCTGCTCCTGAAAGCCCCACTTAGTTCTGAGCAGCTAAGAACCCCAGCTGTTTGTAATTTAAGGAGGGGATGGGAAGCAAGAAGCAACCCCTGTGAAATCGCCAAGTCAAGATACCGTTTCTCATTATTGAATGGAGGGACAGATTCTCTGGTGAATCAAAACAGGCCCGTGAGAACTGGACTCTGATTTCATGAGATGCTAAATAACAAATTGCAAAAGGGCAGCCCAACTTTCCTCCTTCATCACTCACTTGTACTCTCCAAAAAATTGTGAAAGGCAACCCCTTTCCTGGCCACAAGGAAAATGGAAGCTCCTGAGGCACTGATCCTTCTGGCACTTGATGGCAGCTCCCTTTTTCTTGCACACAAAGCAGATCTGCAAATGAGATCCCAGGCAGTGCTCAGGGCCCCAAAACAGACAGACATTCTGTGGCACATCATTCTACGGAATGGAAATTTTTTGAAGCAACAGCCATTCTTCTTCCTCAGTGGACCTAGAAGCTCTAGGGTATGCCGAAGCTGAGCTCCAAGCAGCACTGAATTCTTTTTGGCTTTCTCAGGATGTTGCTCCCTCTCCTCACTTAGGATACTATACCCTAGAGAAGCATGGAACTTAAGAGAAGGACCAGTGGGAAATTCAAGAGTCCTCTGACTTTTAAACTAGCAACTAGGGAAAAGAATAGAAACAGGGATGATGAGAGGAGTATGAGAAGAGGCCTACCCCAAGGCCCCCATTTCAGGGGATTCTAACCTTCCTAGAGGCCCGGGATGCCTCCTTTTTGATGTCCTCAGGCAGGAATCCATAGAAACCTCTATTGGACTGGCCCCTCTGAGGCAGCTTGCTAGATAGGATCTAGAAGGTCAGCAGAACCAGGCTGTCAACACTGATGATCAGTGAAACAGTGCAGTGGGTGATGACAGGGTAAGAGAGCTGAGAAACAGAGCTTGGTGGAATATATATGCATTTACAGGGTAATTTATTTACTTAACAAGCCCTTACATAGCATAAGTGTTGGGTGCTCTAAGTGCTTTTCAAGTATTAACTCATTTAATCCTTGTAACAACCTTAAGAGGTAGGTACTATCATCATCCCCATTTTATAGGAGAAATAACGTGACAGGATCAAGAGCCCAGAACCTGGGCTCTTACCCACCTTTGTGCTACTCGGCCTTTCATTCACACTGCTTTTGTGTGCTGAGCACTTTGGAGAAACATTCCCTGTGTAGTGACTCATTGTCTGCTCACCACAACCCTGTGATACAGATGCCATTGTGATCCTCATCTTAGAGGCCACTGAGGTGTAGCGCAGCAAGTGACCCGGCTGGGGTCACCCAGAAAGGAGGCAGCAGAGTCGCCTTCACATGTGAGCCCACAGAACCCACACTCTCACTCTCCCGCTGTACTGCCCCTCAGTACAGAGTAAATACTCTTCTCAGAGTGTATTCTCCACAGAAAGGGAAACAGGGCTTTCAAATCTCCCGACTGTAGTCATTCTGCCTTATAGGGGAAGGGGAGGAATTGAACTTTTCTTTAAAAACATACTTTAAAGGACCTTTTGTTTCTGAAAAGCCCCCAAAGCAGAGTCTAGAATGGGAAATCAAGGGAAAAGAAGCTAAACTGTTAGGTACCCATGAACAATGAACGTGTACATACTTTGGAAGAATGTCATACCTGAGCCCCACCCCAAGAAGCTTCCAAAAATATTAAGGAGGGTGCTGGACCTACTGCAGCAGTTACATGTAATATGTAATGGGGGCTGAGGTTATCTTATTTTAACATTATAGAAAAAGTGAGCCTACAAGGTTGGATGACTTGAGGATGCTTGAATTATATCCCAATTAGGCTTAAAACATATCTATGTTAACAGTCTCTCAAGGCTTTAGGACTATATGAGTCCTTTTAAGTATTAATATTTTCTACAATGAACATGTATAATTTCTACAAACAAAAAAATCAGTAGTGAAAGATTAAAAATAATCTAAATGTCCTTTAACAGGAGTTTAATACTTTTTGGTACACCTGTACCATGGAATACCAATTAGCTATTAAAAAAGTGTTCTAGGGCTTCCCTGGTGGCGCAGTGGTTGAGAGTCTGCCTGCCGATGCAGGGGACGCGGGTTCGTGCCCCGGTCCGGGAAGGTCCCACATGCCGCGGAGCGGCTGGGCCCGTGAGCCATGGCCGCTGAGCCTGCGCATCCGGAGCCTGTGCTCCGCAACGGGTGAGACCACAACAGTGAGAGGCCCGCGTACTGCAAAAAAAAAAAAAAAAGTGTTCTATATGGAAACAGCTCCATAAATATATGAGGTAAAAAAAAGTAAAATACAAAACACTGTGTATAGTATGTTTATTTTATGTTGAAAATGTATATGCTTATAAATGCATTGAAATTAAACAAGACCTGACACCAAAACAAGACAGAACTTACAGGAGTGTAAAAGCACACACCAATTTTTCTCATGAGCATAGATACAAAAATGAAACAAAATATTGAATCCAGCACCATATAAAAAGGATTATACATCATGACCAGGCAGAATTTGTACCAGAAATGCAAGATTAGTTTAACATTAAAGTATTCAATCAATGTAACAAATCACATTCACAAAATAAAGAAGAAAAATCATGATCATCTCAACAGATGCAGAAAAAGCATCTGACAAATTCAGCACACATTCATAATACCCTCAGCAAACCAGAAATAAAAGGGAACTTCTCCAATCTGATAAAAAGCATCTAAGAAAAACCTACAGCTGACATCATATTTAGTGGTGAAAAATTGGATGCTGTCCTCTAATGTTAGGAACAAGACACAATATTCACTCATACAACTTCTTTTCAACACTAGATTGAAGTTCCCAGCTATTACAATAAGGCAAGAAGAAGAATTAAAAGACATAAAGATTGGAAAGAAAGAACTGCCTTTATTCACACGTGATTGTGTACACAGGAAATCCTAAGGCATTTACAAAAAAATTAAAAAATAAAAACTACTGAACTAATAAGTGAATTTAACAAGACTGCAGATACAAAATCAATGTACAAAAATAAATTGCATTTCTGTACACCAGCAACAAACTTGAAATGAAATTTTAAAATACCATTTATAATAGCATAGAAATCACAAAATATTTAGGAATACATTTAACAAAATTTGTGCAAGACTTCTTCACTAAAAAAAAAAAATTGCTGAGATAAATTTTAAAAGACACAAATTAATGGGGAAATATATCATGTCCATGGACTGGAAGATTCAATATTGTTTGTCAATTCTTCCCAAATTGATCCATAAATTCAATGCAATCCCTATCACTATCCCAACAGGCTTTTTTTTAAACAAAAAATTGACAAACTAAATATAAAATGTATATGGAAAAGGAAAGCACCCGATAGCCAAAGCAATCTTGGAAAAGACTGCAGAACAAGACTTAATTTCAAGATGCTGTAAAGCCACAATAATCAAAACAGTGTGGTATTGGTAAGGATCAACACACAGATCTATGACATAAAATAAATCATCCAGATCCACAGATACATGGTCAACTGATTTTGACAAAGGCACTGAGGTAATTCAATGGGTAAGCAAAGATTTCTTGGGACACACAAACAAGCACTAACCATAAAAGGAAAAACAGATAAACTGGACTTCATCAAAATTAAAAACTTTTGTTCTTCGAAAGACATCATTAAGAAAATAAAAAGCCAGGGGGAAGGGGCAGCAGGCACCATGTTGGGCCATGAAGGTGGCAAGAAGAAGTCCTTGAAGCAGCCCAAGAAGCAAGCCAAGGAGATGGGCAAGGAAGATGAGGCACTCAAGCAGAAAAAGGAGGAGGAGCAGAAGAAGCTCGAGGAGCTAAAAGGGAAGGCTGCGGGGAAAGGCCCCCTGGCCACAGGTGGAATTAAGAAATCTGGCAAAAAGTAAGCTGTTCCTGAAATTCCTTGGTGGTCCAGTGGTTAAGGCTTGGCGCTTTCACTGCCATGGGCCCGGGTTCGATGCCTGGCCAGGGAACTAAGATCCCACAAGCTGCACAGCGTGGCCAAAAAATAAGTAAAATAAAATTTTTAAAAAGTAAGCTGTTCCTTGTGCCTGAGGCAATGATGATTCCATTCCTGTTTAAACATCTGGATTCCCTGCCATAACATCTGTCACCACCTATAGCTATAGCTTGGAACCTTTTGTACATTTAAGAATAAATTTTTGTAAAAAAAAAGAAAATCATACAGTGGCTCATCTTGTCTATAGTTTTTCTCAGCCATTTTCTACCTTAGCTATGAGATCTGCATAAACCCAGCACAGAATCCTGCCAAAGTGTGTTCCTAAGTCCTTGTTCTATCCTGAATTCTGCATCACCTGGAATGAAACCAACTCATTTGAAAAATAAAAAGAAAATTAAAAGGCAAATCACAGACTGGGAGAAAATAGTAAAAACACACATCTCTGAAAAAGGATTTGTAGCCAGAATATACCTGTGCCCCCGGCAGGTATATTCTGCACCCCAGGAAGTGCAGAGTCTTGACCACTGGACTGCCAGGGAAATCCCAAAACAACTCAACTTCTAAAATGGACAAAATATTTGTACCTACACTTCACAAACGGAAACATGTGAATGGCCAATAAGCACACAAAAAGAAGCTCAACATTTTAGGTCATCAGAAAAATGCAAATTAAAACAGCAGTGAGATACCAAAACACACTTAGTAGAATGGCTAAAATTAAAAAGACTAACAACAACAAGTTGGGACAAGAATATTGTGCAAACAGAAATCTCATAAATTGCTAGTGGGATTGTAAACTGGTACAACCACTTTGGAAAGTGATCTGTCAACTTCACACAAAGTTAAACATAGTTAGTAATTTCACTCCTAGACATTTGCCCAAGAGAAGTGAAAACATGTTTTCACACAAAAAATTGTACGTGAATATGCGTAGCAGCTTTATTCATAATAGCCCCCAAATGAAAACAATTCAAATGTCCATCAGCAGGTGGATAAATAAGCAAATTATAATATATTCATACAACAGAATATAACTACACAATAAAAAGGCACAAGCTACCAACGCATGCAACATGGATCAGTCTTCAAAACACTGTGTTGAGTGAAAGAAGCCAGACACAAAAGAGTACAAATTGTATGGTTTCATTTATATGAAGTATAAGAATAGGCAAAAGTAACCTACGGATCAGAACAGTGATCACCTCTGAGGGAACTGACTGGAAGAGGGTAGGAGGGAATTTCTGGCCTGATGGAAATAATTATTTTGATGGGGGTAGTGTTTACATGGGGACATACTTTATATCCCCATGATATATGAGTTTATCAAAACTCATCAAACTGTATTCTTAAATGGGTACATTCTATAGCATACAAACTATACTTAATTTTAAAAGAATATCAGGAAAAAATAGCTGGAAGAACTGTTGGTAGAATTTGCTGCTGGGGAGAGGGAGAAGGACTGGGACTACTACTAGGGGAAGAGACTTTCTATTGTACATACTTTATACTGTTAGGATTTTACACCAGGTACACACATTACTTTTCAAAAATTAGATTTTAAAAGAAAAACAAGCAAACAGGGCAAAGGATCTGAGGCTGGATGCAAAAACAGAGCACAGACTGTACAGCAAAGCCATAGGACATTCAAAGCAAAGGGGGCCCTATACTCACAAGACAGAAATAATGCACACTGAGATTGTCTTTCTGAAGAAATTCCCCTAATTTTTCGGGATCCCCAGGTTCTTGAAGGCATAGCCGGCAAACTGGAAGAAAGGATGTTAGGAATTCATTTTGGGAGCATAACGATCTAAGCACAAGGAGGAGTACAGTACTGGGAAGAGGGTCATTTTGACAAGGAGGAGGTTGGGATGAAGTGTTATTTGATATCAGTTAGGTTTTCATATAATTTTAGCCACATCTGACGGAGTTGGCTGCAACTGCTCACTGAGATAAAAGATATACTTTTATCTCAAGTGGCTTTAATTAACTTGTTCCTTGAACTTTGGACATGACATTTAAATATTACAGTCTCTGAGTTCTTCAGGATCTTAGAGATTCTGGGAAGGAACTGACAGTGAGAAGAGCAAGTTTGCTGCCCTACACAAGTGGCCTTTGCTGAGGTCGGGAGGCAGCAGCCAAACAAAACCTCCAGTCTTTCTTACCAGGCCCTGAAGAAGGCTTCCTCTGGGTTACTCTTCTTGTCCTGGCAGATTTTCTATACAAGAGATGGAAAAAGTACAAGGTAGTCTTTGAGGATCCTGTATGGCATCTCTTGTAACATTTCCCTCAAAATGCTATCCATGGGTCTGATGAAGGACCAAAATAGCTAAAGACTAAGACATCAGTTTTCTTCTTCCCTTTCATATTTTTTGAAAGCACAAAACATGCCCATGGAATTATGTGAATTAAGTGAGATCATAGCCATCTTTCTGTTCTAGTGCCTCTATTGCCTGTGTTGACTGAATGAATGCAAGAACAAACCCCCTTTTATTCTTTTACTGTTTCTCCTGTCACCTACCCTGAATCTCAGGTGGTACCATGTTCACAAGGCATAATAAAATGATACTAAAATTGATTAAGAATTTCCTATTGCTAGGCAATATTCTTGGCTCTTTATATGTATTAGCTCAGTGAATCTACAGAATGTTCTAAAAAGTGGGTGCTATTATTATGCATTTTCCAGATGAGGAAACTGAGGCCTAAAGAAATGAAATAACCTGTCCCAGGTCACCTAGTTAGCAAGTGTTAGAGCCAGGATATGACTCTAGGCAGAAGGGCTCCACAGCCAAGACTTTGCCAGTAGGGACATCCCTGGGAGGATAGGTTACTGGGCAGCTTCCCAGGGACCACTGGTGTATGCTTCAACACTAACCAACCTTAGCCTCCAAGACCAAGCAAAGGAGACAAAAAATGAAGCATATACTACAGGCCATTGGACAATTTCTCCCAAACTCTCTTAAGTTGCCTACTCTACCTCAATCTTTGATGTTCCTTCTTCTTTCCTTTTATAGTCTTCATTTGCTGCTGCCTATCTTGAATTCTTCTATACTATAATGAGAACAGTACCGGCTCTTCCAGCTATAAAAATAAACAAGTCAGCAATTAATTCTACATTTGGTTATCAAGTTCCACAGGGTCAAAGCAACAGTGCGCTTCACCTCCCCATCCATGTGACAGAATAAAAGCGACACGCCCAGTATCAATGCCAGTAATAGCCAATAATTATTAAATCATGCCCAGAACTGTTCTGGGCATTTTACATTTAACTCGAAAACCCCCCTGGCAATAGGTACCATTTTATCCCTATTTTCAAGATGACACTGAGGCACAGAGAGGTCACACAGAGGCACTTGCTCAAGATCACAGTTACTGATACACCACAGCGGTATGAGAACTTGGAACTATTGCTTGAACTGGCTAACTGGTTCTTTGTTCTCTTTGTGCCTACTAAATGTATGAGGTAGCACTCAGGAAAAATGCCTCCTTCTGCCCCAAGTTTAAGTTCCTTAATTCCACCCAGGAAAAGCTAGATTAGGTAGCTCTTTCCTGGGAAAAGGAGCCTGTGAGATTCTGGCTGCCTAAAGCGAGAACTCCCTCTAGTGAGAGCCAAGATATAACCCTGACAAATCACCCCTTGGCTCCTATTGCTTCTTTTCACCAGGCTCAGATGATCACTGAGGTCTGGCCTATTCTCAGCCTTCCTCTAGATGTGAACCAAGGTTAAAAGGCCCAGAAGTGGAAAAGACACCCTGCCACTCCTCCCCCGACCAATGTCAGCTGGCTATAAATTCAGTTTTCATTGGTTAAGGGGGAAATCCCTGAATGGGAAGGGGGACAAAAGAAATAAAAAGCACTCCTCTGAAGGAAGGACTGTGTCAAGTCAGGGGAGAGGAGAAGGATAGCATTTCTTAGGAGAATTGAGTGAATTAAGTCAGTCCAGGGACACACACTCCAGTACCCATGTCCTCAGACCACAGCTGGAGAGCATGAACATCTTTAGGGACTGTCAACTACTCTGCATGAACGTAACTACTCTGGCAACTAGCTGTTCTGCAAACTAGGGCTCCATCTCCTCTTCTAACCCATGAGTTGCATTTGCATTGGTAATGACATTTGATGGCTTTTTACTCAACAAAAGCACTTGGACAGGCTGGAAGAGGAGACAGAAGGGCGTGCACTAGGGGATCCACTTTAGCTGGCTACTGAACAGTTCCGAGTCATTGGGGAAATCCAGATCTAGCAATAGAAATAAAACCTTGAAACGTCAGTTCTTTGAATCGCTGGACCAAGACGTTCCTTGAGCGGGATCCTGCGCACAGTGGTAGTTACAGGAAGACGCAAGGATCTTCAAAGCATGCGAGGAGGACGTTGCAAATGCTGGCTTCCACAAGCTGCTCAGTCTGAGATTTCCTAACCGAGCGGATGCTCCCTTGAAACGATTACCGAGTTGTTTCACTGGGTAAGTGCTGGGTAAAACTTGTTGAGAAAGTTAAAAATAAATAAGCGTGTTCGGCCCCGCCACCGCAAGAATAAACAATGATTTATTTGGAAAATACGAGTCGGTGTGGCCACAACCATCCCCCGGAGGTAACAGCCGAAGAAGGGGCTCAAGGAGCATCCCGCGGATGCCAGACCAGGCTCATGTCGCGCCTGCCGGGCTGCTGGTGCGAGGCCGGGCCGGAGGTCGCCTCAGCCGCTCACTCCTCACGGTGGCGCACGGGCGGCCGCTCCCGGCCGGGGCCGCCCGCCCAGCTATCGCCCAGGGCGCCGCTGTCCCGGAGCTTTATTCGTTGCCGTAAGCCGTGGTAGCTACCTCACGGGCCGCCGCCCCGCGCGGTGACTGCGCCGGCGAAGGGAGTGACAACGCAAACGGGGACTGGGTCACGAGGACTGCGACCCACAGAGACTGCAGCCGCTGGGAGCACAGCGACGCTGACGGTTGCGTAGAGTGGGACCGCTAACGGTAGCGCGCTAACGGCCGCGCGCCTGCCCCGCCCCTTCTCGCGCCACCCGCGCTCTAGCTCCGCCCCGTCCTCTCGCCCTGCACTCCCGCGCGAGTTCGCCGGCGTCTGGAGTCGAAACTGCAGAAGACAAGGCCAGAGGCGGGGCGGCGATCGTCGCGCAGAGGTGACGTAGTGCCGCCGGCGCGGGCGGGTGACGCGACGGGGCCCGTTGTCTGTGTGTGGGGCTAGGGGCCCCGGGGGCGGCGGGGTCTCCCGGCGGGGGGCGGCGGGGGGTCGGGAGGGCCTGGACATGGCGCTGAGGGGCCGCCCCGCGGGAAGATGAATAAGGGCTGGCTGGAGCTGGAGAGCGACCCTGGTGAGGAGGGGACCGGGCAGGCCCGGAGCTGGGGAGGCCGGGTGGGTCCGAGACGCGCCTTTCTGACCACTACCCGCTCCTCTTGTCGCCCCACCCAGGCCTCTTCACCCTCCTGGTGGAAGATTTCGGTAAGAGCCTCTCCTACGCGCTGGAACCAGGCTGTGGGGGCCCACTCCTGGGCCCTCGCTCCACAGCCAGAGGCTATCCTTCCCGACTTCTTTCCTTACCTCATCGCAGGTGTCAAAGGGGTGCAGGTGGAGGAGATCTATGACCTTCAGAGCAAATGCCAGGGGTGAGTGGCTTGGCACGCGGCGTGGCTTCGGTCGCCCCTTACGCCCCGAGGGCTAGGGAGGCACCCGGGAGAGAGTGCTCCTCAAGGGAGGTAGTATCAGAGGCTCCAAATTGTAAAATCTCGTATAAGGAAGCATCCCTCCTCTTTGGGTGCCTTCCTGATGAAGCTGGTGCTGTGCTTTTGTTTCTCCCAGTTTTCCCTCAACACTTCCCTTTATGTGGTAGCCTCTTCCCCTCAATACAAATTCTAACCATCTCTTGGATTAAATTCATCTGCTTTCTGTGGCCTTCCAGCCAGAAACCCCCTGCTCTTGACTCGGGTCACACTGTGCCTTTTGTGCAGCTGTAATTTATTAATGACTGCTTTACTGTGCCCATGTGCCAGTGGTTTTAATCCCCACACAGGGGTCTCATATTGATTGGTTGGTTTGTGGCATCTGACAAGGACTCTCCTGGGTGACCAAGGTCTGGGTCTTGTCTTGGTGGTCCTACAGAATAGAGGTGTGGAGGAACTGCTACAGTGACTAAACGGAGAAGTCTGCTTCTTTCCCTTCAGGAAAGAACGGACTGATATGGGTGTTCATTAACTTCCCTGATTGCACTGGGGCCCAGGCCCTGGGCTTCACAAGTGAGAATTAGTGTTTAAATTCCTCATCACATTTATTGTTCTCGCCTTACCTTCTGTTCCTACCCGGTCCTGAGCCATCGTTCCAGCTCTTCTTATCCCAGAACCATAGACTTCATAAGGATACTGGGTGACTCCTGGAGCATCACAGCCAGAGGCTGATGCTTGACTCTGCCTGCAGTGGGCTTCTGGGGTGCGAGGGCGCAGGGCCACTTTGGGCAGCGTTGGGAAGAAGCCAAGGGAGAGGTGGGATCACAGGAAGGGCACCTGAGTGGTAACACAGTGCAAAGGAATAGGGGAGAGGAAAGGGAATGCAGATTGCCTTCCCCCACTTGACTGGTCTAGCTCTGTCCCTTACTTTCCCCAGCCCCGTGTATGGATTCATCTTCCTGTTCAAATGGATCGAAGAGCGCCGATCCCGTCGCAAGGTCTCTACCTTGGTGGATGATACATCTGTGATTGATGATGATATTGTGAATAACATGTTCTTTGCCCACCAGGTCTGCTGGGCTCTGTGTTCTTTCTGGAGGGTGGGATGCTGCCGTTTTCTTCGCTTGGAAAGTGGAAGTGGGGAAAGGCAGAAGGAACTGAGCTCTTATTCACTAAAAAAAGGGAGTCTCTTTAGAGCAGGGTGATGTCTGAGTCCATTCTCCATGTCCCCAGACTCCTGATGGGTACTTAGTTGAGTGAACAAATGTTGGGTAAAGATGAGGGGAGTTGATGAGGATTGTCCAGACATGACTGTCCCTCTCTGAGTCCCCATTCCTGATGAGTATGGGCTTGGGGTGAGGGATGCTGTGGATGGGTGACTGTTCTTTGTTTCACAGCTGATCCCCAACTCTTGTGCCACTCATGCCCTGCTGAGCGTGCTCCTGAACTGCAGCAATGTGGACCTGGGGCCCACCCTGAGTCGCATGAAGGACTTCACCAAAGGCTTCAGCCCTGAGGTAGGCCACAGTGCCTTAATCCTGACTCAGCTGACTAGGCAGATGTGACCCCCAGATCTACCACTGATAATGCCACTACACGGCATTTGGCACTATGAGGCTTTTTCAAATGATATTTACATTATATTTGACCTGTAAATTAATTGTGTAAGTCAACTTTTTTTTAAGGCCCAATTGTCAGAAAAGGAGATAGACCTAGGGAAGAGAGGAACGTTCCTTAAGTGACACCTTATTAGGACTTTATCAGGCAATGTTGTTCTCCAGTGTCCACTGATTACTGTGCAAGGCCAGTACAGCCCATCTTTTGGGGGCTCCAGAGCTCTTTTCTGCCCCCACTAGGCCTTCAGGAGAGGCCACCTGTGCTTCTTCAAGTTCCTGGAATGCCCCCAGGCCTGCTCTCCTGAGCTCTGTTTCCCACCCGAGGCCCGCCTGAGAAGTTGCTCTGATGTGGCCTTATTTTCTTCCCTCTAGAGCAAAGGATATGCGATTGGCAATGCTCCAGAGTTGGCCAAGGCACATAATAGCCATGCCAGGTGTGTGGGAGCTGTGGGAACTGATGGGGGTGGGGGCAAGGAAGGGGGTTGTACCATTCTGGGCACTGACTGTGTCCTTCCCCAGGCCGGAGCCACGCCATCTCCCCGAGAAGCAGAATGGCCTTAGTGCTGTGCGGACCATGGAGGCATTCCACTTTGTCAGCTATGTGCCTGTCACAGGCCGGCTTTTTGAGCTGGATGGGCTGAAGGTTTACCCCATTGACCATGGTAGGCACTCTGAGCTGGGGGCCCATTGGATTTCTCTGCTTACCTCCTAAGGAGGTGGGGCTCAAGGTCCTCAAGCACTTGGGACCCAGTGGTGGGGCGTGGCAGGGGTGTCTTGAAGACGTGGTTTTGGCAGGATGGCACCCTGTACTGCATTGTCCAACTAGCCCCTGATTCTCTGGGTCACCTTCTCTCCATCATCCTTCCAACTCCTGGCCTGCCCGAGCTCCGGGCTTCCTACCTACTGACTCCTTGTCTTGGTTTCCCCAGGGCCTTGGGGGGAGGATGAGGAGTGGACAGACAAGGCCCGGAGGGTCATCATGGAGCGTATCGGCCTCGCCACTGCAGGGTAAGGGCCCTGAGCCTGCCCTACCTTCTGGAGCTGTGCCCCCATTGGGAGGGACACAGAAGAGGGAACCAAGGCAGAGAGAGGCCAGATGGCTTGTGCAAGGCCACGTGATGAATCTGGCAAGATCAGGATTAGATCTTGTGCTCCCAACTCCTTGCCCTATTTCCCACTCAGGCTGCGTGTGGCCTGCTTCAGGATAGCCTGGGGAGGGGCAGGCCCTGGTGGAGCCCCGGCTGGCCCACGTGTGCTGGCTCACTTCCTGACAGGCCCCTCACGCAGCTTGTTGGAAGGCACCAGCTCAGGTGCCTGGTGTGCATGGCCAGCTACTGCCCGCCTGTTGGGGTGGGGCCTGTACCTGTGGCTGCAGGTGTGACTTCAGGGAGCCCTGCCAGGAGATCTGCCTCAACCTGATGGCGGGGCCAGGGTGAGAGCTGCTCTCACGGCCACGGCTGTGACTGCAGGGAGCCCTACCATGACATCCGCTTCAACCTGATGGCGGTGGTGCCCGACCGCAGGATCAAGTATGAGGCCAGGCTGCACGTTCTGAAGGTGAACCGTCAGACAGTACTGGAGGCCCTGCAGCAGGTGGGTACCCCTCCTGCCCAGGCCCTGCCTAGCCCAGCCACCCACTCCTTCCCTCCACTGGGGCATCTGTGTCTGATTCCCACATTACTCTGTATTGTGGATCTGGGCTTCAATTAACCACTCCTTTCCTTTGCTCCCTTTGTGGGAAAGGTGATGGGACTTGGCATGGGGAGGGGGAGAATAGCCTCTGAAAGGAGGTTTGACTGTTGTTATTTCCCTTTAAGTGAGTGAGTAGAGCCAAGGCCCTTAGCTGTCCAAGGTAGAAGCTAGGGTCTGCCTTCACTCCTCTGCACCTTGGATTTTGATTTCAGCTGATTAGGGTAACACAGCCAGAGCTGATTCAGACCCACAAGTCTCAAGAGTCACAGTTGCCTGAAGAGACCAAAGCAGTCAGCAGCAAGTCCCCTCTGGCCCTGGAAACAAGCAGGGCCCCAGCGGCCTCTGAGGGCACCCACACAGGTATTGGAGCCTCTCATGGGCCTCAGAGCCACCCCAAGCAGAGCAGGTCTTTTTCTGTGGAGGCAGTTGGGCAGTGGTTCAGAGGCTCCTGCAGGAGGTCTGAAGCCTGGTACCTACAGCCCTCTCCCCTCGGAACATGGAGGAAGAGCAGTCCCTCCCTAAACAAAGGCACCTGGAAAGGGCTGCCATTACCACAGTCCCCCAAGCCTTCTCCTTAATGTATATTCCCTTTCTAGCCTCTCTTGAAGTTTTTTTCTTTCTGCCTCCTTTTTTTCATCTCATCCTTTTCCTTTCTCACTGTGGCCCCATGACTTAGAGCTTGCTGACTCCACCCATCAGCTGTCTCTGCTGTTCTTCTCTGAGAAGGGAAGGGGAGCAGTACTGTGCCCCAGGACTGGGGAGATGTGGGCTGAGGACAGCTTTTCTTGAGGGTCTGGCTAAAAGTCCTGCCCATGCCCCTCGCCCTCTCAGATGGTGCGGAGGAGGTGGCTGGTTCGTGCCCACAAGCCCCGACCCACAGCCCTCCCAGCAAACCCAAGCTGGTGGTGAAGCCTCCAGGGAGCAGCATCAATGGGGTTCCCCCAAACCCCACTCCTATCGTCCAGCGGCTGCCAGCCTTTCTGGACAATCACAACTACGCCAAGTCCCCCATGCAGGTAAGCTGGGAGGATTCC